GACTGAAATGAACGCTTTTTAAATGTTACGCCACGTAGTATACAGCTAGTTTCCATGCTCTCTGGAAACCGTCAGGTTCAACAGTATCTATTATTTTGCACCTTGAAACTGGATAACAGTTCCTAATTGGTTATTCGCAGATAGCCTTCTCATGGCAACATCTAACTGCATGACGCGTGCCACACATTTCGTTGTTAACTTGTAAAGGTTCGACATACAAGTTACTGGCTTGAAGTCGCTGCATTTACTTGGGAATCAGGTATAGGTAGTACCTTTATAGAACCACGGATCTTGTTCCTCCCCATCCATACGAATCCTTCTTACTATGTTGTACAGGTCTCGATGCAAGGAGGTGCACTTCTTGATAAAGAAGTTATAAGCTCCATCAGGCCCTATTGCTTTCCAATTAGGCAAATTGGAGACTATCTCCCAAATTCGGCATTAGATGGGGAAGTATGATGCACTTCATCACCCGGAACATTCTTCCAGATATTCGTTGTGCCAGATATCATCATGCTTTCCCATTTCGGAGTTCCACATCGTACCCTAAAAATCCTTGATTTTCCTCAGTTCTTGTGACTTACGAGCTATTCTTTGATTAGACTTCTATAAAACCGTCTTCTGAACAGCTCGAATCTGGCGCTTTGTATTTTGAATGCACATCGGGTCTCATAACTTTTTATTTTATTTTCGTAAACTCTCACACGGTCTGTCAATATGCTTAACGCTTCATGATAGTCACACTTAAGAGCAAGTTGAGATTCATCTCCCTCATACACTTCTTGGCCTCTTTTAAGTTTTTACTTCCCAGTTTTTTACCAGTTAAAGTCCGTTCTATGAGGAATTTGTGGAAATTCAACAGGCTTATCTTCTTTTCTATGCTTGCTTTCCACTCCGATGGCTTCTTGTCTCGCCTCGTCATGTCTTCATAACATTGTTGTGCTGTTTGAAGCTGCCTTGTAATATTCGTCATTGATTTGGAGGTATTCTGTGTTGCACATTTGCTACTTGGTTTACTACTCTAAGTATAAGCGGGTCCACGGTCTCCGATGTCATTTTCAGCGTTCATTTTATCTGGTTTATCTCGCGTCCCTGTGCTTCTTGCATCAGCACTAAATATTTTTCTTTCACTTCTAGATAAACGTTAGACTCGTGTAGCGTATTCTCCTCGAAGTGCGCATTTTGTGAATTGATACGTTTCATGGACTCCTCCAAGAACCGTTTCTGTGAGCACGAACGACCTGCAATACTGGTGATCACAGAATCCGCTTGCTTGTTCAGTTCCTCAAGGATAATAGCACACAAAAACTTCTCGCTATACAGAGAACGACACAATAGCCATCCCTTTTCTCGGCATTCTTCCAAATCGGTCAAGGACCGCCTTCAGCACCTCTTTTGGTCACTTGGTTCGTGGGGTTTTGATTCCACGGACGATTGCTTCAAGCGTGATAATTCTGCTGGCACCGGGTTCCGGTACCTGGCAGTACTTTATTTCACACCCTTCACATAGCTTTTCCCAACCGTATCTATTTTCGCACTGTTTTCATTTATGGTTCCAGATGCGGACTTTTTCCTTTTACCTCCATTCTATGTCCGTTGAACATAGCCGTTCAGAGCCAACCGCTCAGCACCTCGGCAAGGCCGAGAAGTATATTATAATAACTAATAATAATAATCATTATAATAAATTATTATTATTATCATTATAGTAATTTGCCATCATTATTGCAGTTGTTATTACGATCTTTATTATCAACTTTAGCCTAAACAATGGAATTATATTGATGTAGAGAAGAATGTCATGCGCAAAAATGACACTATGATGAAATAGCTACTTTTAACTCGTTGGTCAAGCTTGAGGTTCACATAACAAGAAAATATAGAGCGAAATTTTCAGACTAACAATAAATGAATGTACCAATTTTTTAAAGAATAAAAAATGTTAAGCTTACCTTCAACTGATATGGTGCTAAAGGAATATGGGAGTAACATTCTCTGTACCAGAACATAGTCAAACAAATACTGATTACATGCATAATTTCAATGTTAGATTTTTATGCAGCAACTGATTTAAAATTAATTTGAGATAAATAAGGAAAATTACAGAAAGTTTAATGAAATAGTTATTAAAAGTAAATGAATTCATATCTAGATATAAGCAACCACAGGCACATCAGTCTGTTATCGACAGGTCTCACTGATGAAAATATTGAAATTTAAATGGCGCAGTAGAATCAATTATTTAAGAATATAATCAATTCCTGCAAGTTTTTTGTGATTTTACACTGGAATGATTGAAGTGAAAGTAAGTTGCCGAAGTTTTTGGCGTAATTATTACAAGATGATAGGCCTCGGATTTGCTTGCGATTTCTATTAAAACTTTTTGTTTACCAATAAGATTGTTCAAGGGCCGAAGAACACCATTTGCGTTAGTTGTGATCTCTTCCGAAGTGAAATGAAATATTTTACTGTTCATCCTATCTTTGTAAATAGCAGTGAATAAACTGCACAATTTGCAGACGATCTTCTTGACTATAAAAGCATAACAAGAAAATTCAAAAAAATTAAATATTGTGTAATCAAAACAATTTCAAAATAATGCGAGCAAATTAAAACTCTAATTTTCTACGTGACTCTTACATAACCTTCACTTTTCATAGCAAAAAGTAAGTTATTATAAATAGAATCATTTGCTACGCATACAATGCAATGTTTCTTGGAAAAAATGGCCTACAAGCAGTTGAAAACTACACTTAGAAGTCAATAGGCAAATTACTACACAAACCTCAAAATTTAAAACTAAAGTGAAAGATATGTTGGTGGTTTCCTGTAAAAAATCCTTATTGAAAATCTTTGTTAAATAGTTTGCTTGAAATTTTACAAGGGTTAAAAAAAAAATTGAGAATTTCTTGATGATCACCATAAAATTACAAGTGGAACTGAAAATTCATCAATTTTAACGGTTATGATTAAACAAACAAATTAGATTTTATTTTAAGTATAGCAAATAAATAATGAACGGAATTTAACTACGCTGCTGATTAACAGTAACCAAACGTGGAGAAAATGATATGTCCAACTTAACGTTCTGGAAAAGTTCTATTTGTAATATTAATTTTTATTTTTTTGTAAGATTAAAGGTCTATGGATCAATGGCAATCTTAATTAATTCGATCTCGATTATTTAAATGGATAGAAATGATGGGAATGAAAACTATTACTAATCCTTTGTCAGAATATCGCATTAATAATGATTCAAAATACTGAAGATAGATAAGACTACACACCTGAATAATTCAAACCTGATGTCTCTAATAGAGAAAATTTTGCTTCAAGCATCACATGATCCTTTGAATTGGTTAAAATACAAATTCGGATCCACAGTGGCAAATTACGCTTCTTTTTAAGTTCCCGCCTACAAAACGGAAACTTCAAATATTTTTTTAGAGGAAAATTTGTCTCTATTTAAAAATTGTATGGGGTAGGAAAAATAAGAAAGTAGTGAAAACTGATTTTCATTAACAGCAATTAATTTTTTATACGCGTTCGGAACACTAGGGAAAAATCGACAGAGAGCAACGTCGAATCAGATTCTCAAATGATTAAGTTGAATGTGTTTTATGTTGGATGAAATTATAGACGCTGAAAAAGTACAGTGAAAACGACCTCTTCTGTAAGTATTTGAAACAGTAAGCAACCTCGTAGAGCTTCTAAGAAATAAAGTTATGTTAAATTTTTAATGATATTTTGCAGCTAGTGTTGAAGAGAGGAATTACATTTTTTGCATGTTATTATGTCTGTTATATGATAGCTTTATCAGTAATACTATGCTACTTCTCATTATTCCCCAGTTCATGGTATATATGTACATTAAACAATATCGAATTTCCTATGGATGAACTCAAATATGTAATTTAATTTCAACTGATAAAGCCATAAAGTGTTGTTTTCTGAATACTGGTAATTCCCGCTTAAACTGTAACTTTGTGAATAATTTTTTCAAAAACTTAATTACTTCAGAAAGCTGAGTAATTTGAAAATATGAAATACCCATTTTATAAATTTTATGAATGTTCATGAAGTTCAACGAATAGATACTTAGTATCTACTATATTCTAAGATTCCAGAGCTCAAAAGATTACCACATTTCATTTAAATAATCAAAACAGCTATAGTATTTCACGGCTGAGTGCTAGGAAAATTGTAGATTAATAGATACAATGCAGGGACAAACGCGATATAGAACGTTAAAATTTGTCTTCACCAAATCAAGTACATATATGTGTGGACATTTGTAATGAAATTTAGAATTTTAATTTAATATCTGGTCTTCGAGTTCCACCAACAGCGAATCGCAGCAATGTTGATTCCGAATTTACATACACAGTAAGTCTCCGGTTCAACAGAATCTATAGTACTAAGTACATGCCATGTTCTGGAACGTAATACTCATCTTTTTCTTCACTGAAAAAGCAATAAAATACTCCCAAAATGTGGCCAAAATTTTTATTTATAATATGTACTTCGAATAACGTGGAATCTGCCTTTACATTTCTGATTCATAGCACTGAATGTTTATACTAGATACGAAAATAAGATTTAATGGAATTATCCCAAAGACGGAATGACTTCCCAAGCCATGCAATATGTATCACATCCTGCCAGTGTAGTGATAAACGAGTTTTAAACTTGTGTCGTGACAATAAAAAAACCAGCGTCCACTTCTTCCGCATTCAGCTGCTGGCCAAATTCACAAATGGAAATGAGAGCAAGGACTGAGATCAATTTGATCGCATCTTCAAATGTATGTTGTTTACGAACCTTATTTGGCATTTGTAGCCTACATCACAAATGTGGTACAGACGAAGGACGTAATGTATTTACTGGGCATTAACAAAAATCATATCATAAAGCAATGAATAGTATTTCACGGCTGAGTGCTAGGAAGATTGTCGAATAAATACATACAATGAAGAAACAAACGCAAATAAACTCCATTACGCACCGTCTAATGGAGAACAAGAATATTTGCCTACAGGTTCCGCTAAACAGGTGGAATAAGAACTACATCTCCACAATTTAAGGAGAAAGTACGGAACAGAAGCAATTTACAAATGTCTCTCCTCCAATTTGATTTTTGCCAACAAACCTAATACTCCTACAGTTTCTCGAATTTAGATTAAAATACAACTGAAACACAATAATTCACACCTGTGACGGAAGAACTGCGCAATTATCAATTGACAACCTTACACTTCATGCAGTTTCTTACTCCGACAGTAACCTCTGAAACAATTCTTGATTCCGTAGTCCTAGACTGTGTGCTAAATCTTGTGCCATCCGAGAACTTAAGATAGCACTTATCTACCTGAATCCCAATATGTCCTTTCCCTTACTTCATATGCTTCCTCTTATATCATTCCTTAACTTAATAATGGCTGCTCCCCAACTCATCTGAAACTAACACCCTACCACACTGCACCAACTTTATCCCAGCATAAGTAACACCACTACCAAGATTATTAAAATCTTGCAAAACCTACCTCCCAGCCTCCAATCATTTCAGATCTCTCCAATCAATTAACTTTCATATCCAGCTCTCCTGCCCTAATACCATTCGAAATACGTGAACACTAGAGCAGTCTCATGATAAGTAGATAAGAATAGCTATTGCAACCCCACAATGAGATTGATCCTAGTACTCTAAGCAACACTGACGTACACACCCAAACGTCATAAGATTGCGAAACACAATAACATAACTTATCCTACGACACAAAAAAATGCTCAAATAACCACCCCCACACAACATTTTCATCAACAAGGAATGGATTCTAAACTACAGATAACTGGAAGCGGAGGAATCTAACTTATTTCATATTATTTTCATTACCAAGCACCTAGAAGAGAACCTCATAGCTATGACTCATTCCTCTTCGCTAGACCGCACATGTACAATTAATGTATATAATAATAAGAATAAACAATTCTAAAATGACCGCTCTAAAGAAAACCAACTGCATACAACATGCAAGTTCTTCATGTACCAGACACAATACTCATGTGAAATAGGTTTAAGATATATAAAATACATACACATAACTTAGTTCAAAAAACACAAGTCTGACCCTTTCGTAACGGCCTTCAGTCTAAAAAACAAGAAGTAGGAATGGAAAATAAAGGAAGACAAATTACAACAATTTTATCTAATTAAAATTAAAAACAAACCAGGTGTAAAACAACTTGATAACAACAATCCTTAGATTTTAGATAAAAACTTCAATATCTGCGTCTTACGAGGGAATTCAACAAGAACCGAACTACTTGCACCTTAACATATCGCAAAATCTAGACCCATAGCGTAACTCTGCGAACAAATTATTAAGATACAATAAAGCTGATGAAATTCCCCCAAAAAGCTTTGGAAAGATCAACTTACACCACGTCAATCGTAATTTGCAACAATATAGACTACGGACGTAAAATGTATAGTCGACCACTAAATGCAGAAAATAGAGAAAGGACCAATTCGCCCTAAAAATCTAAATAACATTGACGAATCCTGAGTTATTCACCGTCCTTAAATTAGTAATTTGGAAACAAATCGACCTTTCCGAAAGCTGTGAAATTATGATTAACAAGGAGACCACAACAAACAGCAAATGAAAATCGCAGTAGGCATCAACGACACAATCATAAACTTTACTCCTCGCTTTCACCACCATCTTCACCTTCAACATCGTCGTCATCTCCAAAATCCCCCCCATCACCATCACCTTGACCATCACTTTCTTCCGAGACAATACTTGCCTCGTCATCATCGCTACCTGCATCTTCTTCATCGCCTAAACTTTCATCATCTTCTCCACCACTGGACTCTTCAACGCCATCCTCACCATCCGCTCCATCCTCAATATCCTCTTCATGCTCGCCATCATGATTTTCATTTGTTGCTTTATCACTACCCTCTAAAATTTACTAGCTTAGTGCTGTCCAAATAAAATAACAATACATTGACTTGGTACTTATATTTATTTTTTGAGAGCACTACATACTACAGTTGCATAAAAACACAAAAAGAGAAGAATAAACCTTTGAGGAAAGCATTCTTGTCCTTCAAATCTTTCACCTGAGTATCACCACCCACCGCCTGAAAAGAGTATGTAATTATTAACAACCAAGAAATTCCTTATTCCGTGCAAAAAACAAAGTTAACGTGAAATTACAGCCGTAATTCCATTTTCCAGCTTGGCTCCTTTGGCTGCAACACCATTCTCAGCATCTTTTTCATCCATCTTCCTTTTTTCCGCAACACGCTCGTCTACTGCACTCATTTTTCGATTTATGCACTGACCAACAATGAACAGATTAAACTGAGAACACAGATACGTGGAATTTCGGACCTGTAATTAAGTATCAACTCTACAGAACAAGTAATAATCAGTTGCGGTACGAAATTTATATCTATAGCAGACTGTGCAATCAAAATGCAGCCAGTCAGTGTGAAGAGCTAGAATACATACATTCGGCAAGACATGATATATTCGCGATTGAAAAAATGTTCAAAATATCTTAGAAAAACATCTTTCACATTACCAAGGTTGCACAGAGAACCTTTCAAGGACAAAAACACGGAGCTTGAAAGATACGTTAAGTGAAAACAATTGCTAAATCTAACAAGCATCACATGCAAACACACATACATGCACAGGGATTCGATCGAAGAGGGCGCTTCATGCTGCATGCCGAATGCTTGCCGAACAATACGGAACCCAACATATGACGGATGAATGAACAAGTGGAAAGCCAGATATTTTGGCAGACAGGTATGCATAGAAATGAAGGGCAGATATGTAGATGGAGAAAGAGGAGTAGACTAATAAGCAGACACACAGGTTGCCAGACGGACCAGCAGGCAGAAAGGTAGGCAGAATAGATAGGATAGACCGACGAGAAGACAGACCGGTAGGGTAAAAAGAGAAACAGACTGACTGATAGATAAACTGATAAATAGATAAACCGATAGAAAGGGATTGGTATACACACGGACCACGAGCATAGATGCGCTGCAACGAGTACGTAGCGATAACAAGCACAGAAGCACTTCACCAGCGTTTCTAACAATGTTCGCACAATTCCTGCCATAGAACGAAAAGTAGGTGGTGCACCTTAATAGTTCGCACATCTGGCATCCATCCAACAGGGTCCTGCACCTCTTTCAATTTGTCGATATCATAACCCGATGCATCCCACCAAGAGCTAATGAAAGCTTCGTTTCCCCTTCTCCTCTTTTGCCTCCTCATTCCTCCTCCTCACACCTCTTCCGCTCGTACTCTTACCTCCTTCATCCTACTCCCTATCCATTCATTTGCAGCCAAGCATTCCAGCAAAAATAGCCTAGACGTGTTTCTACCCATCTGCTACATCGTACCGCGCGCACGCACGCACACGCCGCTCATTTTCTACCTATGCACCTCCTTGCTCTCGTGTCTACCCTCAATACCGATTAATTTGCATATCCCATGAAGAGAATTACAAAACAGAATTGTGCAAACACTAAAACAACAAGTACACGTAGCACCACTGCATGAAGCTTACTAGCCACAACAATTTTGGTCTAGGACTGCTATAATACAGAAGTAGGCAAGTACCATCTAAAGTTTGGTTTAGAGTTCGAAATACTTCGCTGTCCTAATTTAAAGGTGTGTCTCATAAACAGGACGACTGTCTCACAGATTATCTTCTTTCGAGGACTACCCATTCTCACCACTACCAACTTGGAATTGGAAGTAACACATTCCCCACACGTAATGACAACTACACCTCCACGTTAATGTTTTAGCTATACATTCCATTAATTTACAAACAGATAAAGCTGATACATTGTGACAAGCCACATGGAATCAACACAGGACTATCAAAGGACAAACAAGAGCAAACTTGAGTGTGAAATGAGCGGTTTCGAAATAGGTTAAGCAACGCAGTGATTCTTTTCGAGGAACGATGATGACGTAAACAAATTTATATTACATTTAGTGAAGATACAAAGCCAGATACAAAACTTGTTTCAAAGTGGCTAATTAGTAAGTGCACATTGTATATCAAATCCTAATAATGGGTGAAATGGATAACTTCCATATCTCACAGCATAATACTCAACATACAGGTATATGGTAGTCAAAGACGTATGTAGGACACTACGCAAATAATGGCAACTGAAATTCCTTTTAAGCTAGCATAAGCAGAGTTAGGAATACAATGACATTAAGTCTCGAACGCACTTGAGTTAACTACGAAGTGTACAGGAGTGATGTGTGCAATAGTCTTTTCCGTTAAGAAAAAACTTTATTCCGCACCAACGCCAAATAATGAAGAGAATGCGCCTGATATTAAACCTGACAGAACAAAATATTCTGACGGTTACATAATATAACGCAATAACAGTGTGAAACTTTGACAAGCATAAGAAAATTATATATTGCACTACTTCATTTCCTAAACCAAAAATGGTAATCAAATAGTAGTTTCTGCTATCTAGATTTAAATCGAGTGAAAAAATAGACTATGAACGCAGCGCACACAAAAACATTAACACAACAGAACGTATAGCAAGGGTAAGATTGCAATCAAAAACGGAGACTTGCACATTACGGAAATAACAAGCGCAACGTACACGTTTACTCTGAGAGAGAGAAATCAACCAGAATGCGATACGCAAATACATACAACGATAAAGAAAATTGGAGTTATCATTAATAATATGAGCAGTAATATAACACTAAACACAGGTTACCTCTTAATCTCGAAATATCCTCTACTATCATCACTAATATGAATCCCGCATTGGTTATCAACAACCATTACTGGACAGTCTCCTGTTAATTTAACGAACAAAAAGAAAAAGCCTAATCATAGCAATATTTGCAGCAAAACCAAGACAATTGTACTGCAAGGAAAAGGTACGAGAAGAGGACGACTGCATCGTCACAGCCACTCAATGCATCCTTCGGTTAGAGTTGTGCGGATGGAATGAGAGGCAGGCAATATACCCACAGCGTGTGCGCCTCGGTAAATCACACTACAGACTTCCCAGGTGAAGGGAGTGAACATGTCATTTGTGCATGCGGGCGCATACCTTCACACGCTCAAGAACGCGTGCTTGACACACATACATGCATGCACAGGTGAACACATAGACATTTGCATGCGAATACGTATGCTTTCACAAGTAGTTGCACACGTATGTGAGAAGAAATGAGAAAATGAGGTAGACGACATGTGGGAAAACGTACCAAGATGAAGAATTTAAAGGATCAAAGTGGCAGTGCGATGACTGAGAAACCTGAACTAAATACTTCCATACTGCTGTCGCTGCTGCTATATAGCTCCTAGTAATACAATTAATTAGTCGTGTTTGTTCCTTCCCATGCTCTACAGGATTTCGTAACAGATCAGAATGAAACGATAACACATAACTAGTAAGTCTGTGCAGAATGACATTACTATCCTTATAGAACGAGATGCATTGAGGAACTTGAACTGAATACATCCATTGACAATGCCGTAACTAGCAAAATTCAAGTCAATGCCCAACTACGTGAGGCACTCTTTGATTTTATTGTAGACAACACCATTTTTTAAGGATGTAGGTGTGTGACTTCTCAGAACGTGTGCTTGCACAATTATTTGCGAACCTTTTCTGTTGCTTTGCATCGTTCAGGCGAACACCCTCAGTTTTAAATACGTACATCAGTATGCAACAAAATGTGGACGTATACTCCCAGCACACATTTCTTAGCACATACATGCAGTAAACCAAATAAATAATTAGGCATGTCTAAAAGACATAAACATGACCACCATGACTTCCATTCCTATCTTCAATACCGGTCAACTTCAAATCCTCTCCTTCTTATCCGCAATGCAGCTTTCACACACCCTCATCAAATCACACTCTCGGTAATTATGATGTCGCAATATGCTAAATAGGAAGTCTACTTCACATCTTTATGTGTTCTCATGGTAATAATTGGCATAGCTAGCTGGATGGTTTATTTCTGGATAGCAGTCGTTACAGTTGTTGTGATAAGAAGCATCAAAACATTGGTTAGTTACTGTAGTAGTCAAACAGCTGCTTTTAAATAACCAATAAAGTAACTTCGAGTGGGCCGTCTAGTCTGCTGCACTTGTGAAGCTCAATCAAAACCACCAATAATACGCGGGTCTAACATACGAAATTAAGTCAAGGGCATAACCCTAGCTCCTGTACTACAGCTCCGCCATCTCTGCTTTGGTTTTCTTGATAAACACTATACAAAATCGGCGTCACAATCCTGCACAGCACTCCTAACACAGAGAACTCTGATTAACCTTTTTCACACCAGTTTTCAGCGTTATCAATACCACGAAAAGGATATAGTGCTTAAAACAAAGCTGTCCTTATGCTACACATTTTATGATGCGCTCCTCAATTAAGCAAAGTTAATACTTGCATGATGTCCTTCATTGGCACATCGCCTAGCACATCCCAATAAAAACCATACAAATAACTGTAACACCCACATTGAAAAACCGTATATGATGTAAAAACGAAAACTATGATGTAAATACAGAAAGATTTTGCCTACAAAAAAGAGACTATTTGAAAAAGTTAATAGCATAATACAACACAACACAAATTATCACAGAACACAAATATTCTAAAGTGTCAAAAAACGTAGATCACCCTGCTTTTTATTGTTTTTTTGATCTTCTCCATCACTCTGCAGCAAATTTCGTTTCTCCTGCTGTTCAAATGTTATTATCTAAAACAGTTACAAATATTTAAAACTTTATTACATATTAGATTTATTACCAACCACACCATTTTGATAAAGAAGGTGAAAAATCTCACAACTTTTTTACGATAAAATTGTAATAAGCAATACCCAAAACTTTTTTAATACCAAGTCTCGCAATTTGGAATTTACCAGTATTTTTAAAAATAGGAAAAATGAGAAAAATTGTGATCAATTGGTGTTTTTATTATTTTGACAGCGTATTTAACTGAAAATTGAATTTAAGATTTGGTGAACAAATAGAAAATATACCTCTACGCAAGTCTGAGGTAGACGATTTGCTAGAGTGCGGTGATTGCTGTCATCTTTATCTTTGTATCTCATGTCTAAACCATGGAAAAGTGACTTAAAAGTGTAAAAAAAACTTTCTTGTTGGTGCCTTCGTAATGAAGATGAATTTAAAGAGCTCTAAATAATTAAGAAATATCTTTTCAAAAACTCGTTGAAGTACAGAATGAGAATGAATAAACATGCTGAAAAATAAATAAGATACTATTTTTAAAATTTCCCTTAAGCTTTCTCGCACAAACTCTACACATATATATGTTAAGCAGTACAAACGAAAACGAAATCTTATTAAACTCACACTAAATTTCTTACAAGAAAAATTGGCAGTTTCTGAATCACGAACATGTGATTAGGAGGGATCTAACTCAGTAATATAAGCCTTGCCTGTCACTTCAACATTCTTATTGAAAGTCTTCGAATAGTTTTCATTTTCTGGGCTAACGAACAATGCAACTGAGAGAAGATAGTCAACGGTTTGATCTAAATCCTTTGAATTTTCAATCAAAGCTTCTGTTGCCAAACTAGCATCACGACAACCAGTTCGTTTCATCACCTAATGATAAATAAAGCAGTGAGAACCAATCAAACTGCAAAATACATAATGCTTTTAATTAAGTATAATCAGTAATTACCGCAGTAAATTTTAATTGAAGTCTGCAGATAGCTTAACATCTGGAAGCTCTTCATTCACCGTGAAACAAAAATGATCGTTAAAAGTCACTTGTAGAGAAAAAATAACAGTTTACTTGATGAACCAAATTCGTGAATTCATGCTTCTCACGCAAACAAGTCCCATCAGCTTTTGCATTAGAAACGTTCTTATCGTGTTTATGTTTATGTGATGCAGAGTATTGTAAATTAACGCAATCTGCATTTGAAGTGCACGGTTCCGTAGATGTATGAACATTACAAGAAGCGCAGCAAGAAACGGCAGCTGGAGCCTGTGAAATTTCTCGGTGGCCGACGATGTAAGTTTATACAACTTTTCGAGTTAAAATTAAAAATTCCTAAATTATAAAAAATTGGAGATCATTTCTCATTTAGTTTGCGCTATACTTCATAAAATATAAAATAATATTATTTTTAATTGTTCCTGTTAATCGGTCCTATTAATCGTTAAAATATTCACGCGAATAGATGGTCATATGTGAAAGCTAAAGTCCCTCATACCTATGCACTTCTAGATGTTCAATATTTAAACAACGGTTTTCTAATTAAATACTTAAACCATTACATCTATACTTTTAATTAATTAATTATATAACAAGACGAAATTCTTTGTCACGTGTTTAGTTGGACTAAATTGAGAACTTAAAAAATTCTATTTGTATTGGTTTCTACATCACAACGTAAGTAAAAATTACGACAAAATATTCGACAGGAAAAAATCACAAATTTAAAAACTGATCAGCTCGATAATGCAGTTTTACATACCATAATGCGTATTCTGGCAGGGGTATTTGCAATATCACCAAAACGCCGAACGCTCGAATAATGCTCACCATTGTGGTAAGAGAGATGAAGTTCAGGAGCATTGATATTCTCAGTACCTTCAATTTTCCAGAGTGGTCTATTTAACTGATGGATAATAATGTTCACTTCATGCAACCGAGCAAAAGCTACAAGTGCATCTTGACCCGCGTAGGTGCCTGGACGACTCAAATCATTCACTGAAAACAGAGATAAATAAATACGAGTAAAATATTCATGAATATAAAGATCAAACTTTCAATATCTTATTTTTCATACAAGTTTTAAACATTGACTCAGTATTTTTTTTATGAATGATAAATTCCATCAAAGTTCTTTAAAATCGCACTATAACGATCAAAAGGGACATCGATAAATGGTTCGAAATGATCGCGATGATTTACCATATACCGAACCGTATCCAGCCGATGCTTCAAATGATTCCCTATATGGCCATCTAACTGATCGCCCAAAGCTCTAAAATATGCCGACCTTGATCAGTTTATGTAAGAACTACTTCCTCAAAAACCCCAAAAGCGAAAGACTTGCGAAAGTAAAAGACTTCAATATTCGAAGCATAAGATACCTGAAAAGGCAATTTCCATCACCTGGAATATCTCGAACAGTTAATCCAAAAGAACCAAGCTGTGCACGCAAGTCAGCAACATCGTACACATTTCGTGTACTCGTTCCTGGATACGCAGACTGTAATACACTATAGCAAAAAATGGCTTAATGTAGAACGGATGAATAAATCTCACAAATCAGTAGCATTTTCCGTAACGAAATATAGGAAAGTGCTGTATGTATTAGAACTTCAAACTGACTGAAAATGAGAGCTATAAAAGCAGTGAGGGAAAACAACATTATCCAATGAAAACTTTTATAAATTTACTTACCTCCAATACACTAATTTTTGATCAAAACTAATCTTATACCAAAATGACATTTAAAAACAAAAGATAACTGTTGTTGTTTCATGATTAAAACCAAAGAATATGGCTCAACCTACCGCTATACGTCTGTCTGCTCAGAGAAAATGATTTTACCTCTTTTCTTTGCGCAATATTTAACCGTCTAAGGTCCTGAGTACTACGTGAATTACTGCCTCTTGGAATGCCTTTCGTATTACTGCCAACCGTAGTTTTAATTGAATCACTACTTGTCCTATTATATTCCTTTTTTCGTGCCATAAAATTCACACAACACAAGCGGTTGCTGTTTTGATCAGACAAACCACAGCTACAAAGTACACTAAGATTTAAAATAATATGGAATAAAAATGAAAATTACGTAAGAACTCTAAGAAACTTCAAGAATTTTGATGCTAGATGTCATGTAAAAAGTATGTTTGAATAATTCTGTTCTTAAAATATTGAAAAACTTTTGCAAAGGGTTCTGCCTTACCTGTCATCGAAAAATCGAAGATGGCACACAAAAAGACATACAAGCGACCACAACCAAATTAAAAAGTCTAAATTTAAATGCTGTGAAATATAATGTTACTTTATTTATGTTAATTACTGCAGAAAATGAAATTATATAGAACACAACTGTTATACTAAAGTTATCCTTTTATTCACAAGTAATGAGACGACTGATCTTCTGAAACGTTACTAGAAAATAGAGTTATGTTAAAAGTAAACGTAAGAATAGAACCATGTTAGCAGAAATTTACTCAGTGATTCTGACATCAAACTTCCAGTAATGTTCAAACGTCTCCATTACCAAAAAGCATCTTCATAAATACCACTTCTGTATACTACTCACAACTATTAAAAAACAATCCTCAAAAATTCTCAACAACGGTTCTTAAAGAAATCAATTGAAGGAAGCAAAATGCAACCGTGCCGTCCCAAAATGATCATCACACCTCTGTTTCTGACTTCTTTCTATTAGCACATGATTACTTTGTCATTCGTAAAATCAGCGTTTTGTCGAAATCTCCTGCTTTTGAACAATTTATTGACAACTTGAGCTTTTATTTGAAGCACTTCGTTTCATGAGTTTGGGAACTGAATCCAAAAAGAAGTGGTGATCGCATTTATATAGTAAAGGCTATGTGGAGAATAAGCGGCGAAATTTCGTTGTTTTTCGACCATGAGAATCAGTTTTGGTTTAGTAACTGTCAAAGATCATGTAAAGATGTTTTAAAAAGTTAATAGACTAATTTCATGTTAATAAATGGTGTTCAGTAGTAGCAAATCACATGAAACTTTTATATTCTTATTCCAAATATGTATCTTTATGCTGTGGAATCAAACAACATAGTTATACTTGATATTTATAATCCATTTTTGCTTATCAAGATATTATTACACAACTTTTTCAGTGTTATTGATGTTAAATATGCAATTCAATGTAATATTGTGTTATTCTAGCCAGCAAATGAATTGTTTTGTGTTTATTACTATATCATCTACAATTTATACTTGTTTGGTTGGAAGCCATTTAATCAGATCGTCGTTAAAATCTTTCAAATGTAGCGAATGCAACTTGAGCAACAAAGTTATCAACACCACCACTAATAGCATGTTCGAAGAAAAAGGAATTGGAAAATTTTAATATATTCTTATCCTAAAAACCAATGACTCAGTTGTAGCTGCTTTTGAATATTCTACTATTTAGAGATTATTTCTTTCATATTTCTTGCATAACCAAATTCCTAGCCGTTTTAAATCAGTTACTCATGCATTTAAATTACATCTCAGTTCCCTGGTGTCTCACTTCTATACATCTCAAATATATACCTCAGCAGCTACCAATCGCAAATTTCGATACCGTATTTTAGTTCCAAGCTGTTTTTGCACTTTTCAAATTTTTTAATATTAACATTTCAAAAGATTTCAGAATTCGTTCTTAAATCGAAATGTATACACGCATACTTAACCATCCATTAAATTTTTGGCGTGATCTCTTCTAGAAAGAAGTAGGGCCGCTTAGAACTGTATCTTTCGTAATGCTGACAGTATACAATGTGTGACCAAAACTGGCAACTGTTATGAAGTAGTTAGGTAGCACTGACAGATGTAAAAAGTTATGGTTGCATGTAAAAAGTGGCGATTATGACGCATCAAATTTTTAAATGCCATTCGAATTTCACCACTATCGTCCAATGGCATTTTTAGTCGTTTTTCCTATGCCATCTCGTCATTCTATTTTTCAATATATTTTTTTATTTCCCTTTGTTATTACGTCTTTAATGAATAAAAGTGTAGATTATCAATAATTTGATGAATACACCTTGTACATAACAATTTCATGAGGCACCGTACTTCTCCACTTAAAATGGCAGAATAGTTATAAATTTCTAGATTTTAATTTTTTAAGCCTTCACGTGCAACTTCAGAAGATGATCCATGTTGCGCGCGAGCAGTTACAGTTACTACCGTATGTAAACAGTCGCGATTACAATGCATTTTCTCTCTAACCTATTTAAAAAAGCACCAAAAAGATAAATAATGAAGATTTGAACTGCTACAAACAAAGCTTTGAAATGATAACTTTTAGAGTAGCATAGTATTTGTACCACAATATGCCACCTTCTTGACAATCCAGTGCTATTTTTTGTTTGGAAACTAAAAAACAAAGCCAGACATTTACGATGCAATAATAATTTTGTAGGGCTCTTAGCCACTTTTCAAATCTTTGCAAACTTATTTTAGTCTAAATATGATTTTCAACAATTCTATGATAATTAATAATTACTCACATACAAATTGATTCACATTCACTCTGATAGGAAACTGTTCTGCTTCCTGGATCTCTTCCTATTATTGTTTTCATTTTATTGGCTTTTAAAAACTGATCTTTTATTTTTTCAGAAAACTTCGGTGTTATGTTCATGAAACAAAATTATGGTAGTTCATTTCAGCAGCGATATTCGTACTATTTTTTTCATTACATTTATTTCCAATTGCGTTCAAATTTTCCGAACCTTTTTAAATCCTTAAAAGTTTAGCAGAAAAAAGTTATTTTGTTCTCAGAAATTCAACATATATTTCAGCTAATATCAATGAAAAAGTAATAAAATAATGAATCTTGGCAATGAAAAATGTATCTTTCAAATCATCTTATAAAAATATTGTCAAGAATGCAGAAACTTTTTGTTATTGCACGTATTCGCAATGTAGTGGAAATCGGCTGAAAATTTTTTTAGTTATACTGTAAAAGATATACCTGCTTATTAGATCGGAATTTGATGAAAATATAGAAAGAAACTATGGTGGTTCAAGCATATAATAAGCACTTTGATCAAACAAAACTAATATAAACTTAAATTACATTAATTTGAAAGCAAAAAAAAATATTGTGCACTACGATCTAAAAATGTAGCATATAACTTTAGAAAATTAATGAAAAACAGAAAAAATGATTGTACGAACAATCACTATCTCAAAAAACCAGAACTTTGATTTTATGAAGCTGCATAGTTCGCTGTTATATTTATGCCTGATTGCACAAACAGCAAAATATAAATTTCAAAACAACTAAACACTCAGTGGTATTCTAGAAACTTCACAGCATTGAAAATTCAATCTCCTAAATTTATCCACAGAATTCTTTAATGTTTGTTTAGTCATCAAATTTAGTGAAAAAATTCAAACTAAATAGAATAAAGTTTTGCTGACAAGCTAAAATTACATGAACAGACTTGATTATTTTTTTATATTTGCATGCTTTAAAATCTGGAAAGTATGGAACTCTTTAAGAGTTAGCACATTTTATTCTGTAAGCTCTTAATCAGTCTGATTCAACAAAATTTTCTATTTTTAAACTAACGTTTTGTATAATAATAAATGTAAAATATTGAAAAAGAATATACATCACAAAAATACCTAAAAAGAAAATAATTATATGCATAATAAAGAGTATTAGGAAATTCAAGTGATATGAAATTGAAATATAATTGATCACTAAGTCGTTTATTGAGACACACTGTGACGAAGGTATAAAATTCATGAAAAACTTAAAAACTATTTGTATCTAAGTGAAATCTCAAAAGACAGTTAAGTAAATCTGAAGGTCTACTTCTCACCATTAAATTAATTTGCTTAATATCTCTTTATCATAATTGATAAAGCAGACAACAAATGATAGAAGAAGTTGGATTAAGGAATTATCATCTGATCTGACCTGATTTTTTATTTGTTTGAATGTTTTTTAGTGCCTAATAAAATGGCAAAAATATTTAAGAGTGAAAAAGATTAAATTTTAACATATTCAAGTATTATTTAAGTCGTGTCAAAAATATCCGTGCTTGACAAAATATGAAAACCAATTTTTGAAGATTTTTGATTTGATATTTCAAACTTTAGATTCGTTATTGATTTCATGTAAAATTTTCTTGTATACTTCTCACTTAATTGATGTTCCGTAATCAGTGTTTTTGGTTTTTTGCAGTATCATTTGTTGTCTGTAGAATCTGCTGTTCAATATTTAGAGAATGTTGGAAACTAATGGTAGTGATAATGAATAATAATTAAATTTCTCATCCATTTTTTGCTTTGAGACAAACGTGCGATCGCTGGGTGATCCAGCAGGTTGAAGACTATTTATGCATCACTAATCATGAAAAGAATCTTTCCCTGTCATATTCAAATTTTTTCTACTTCTGTTGGTTTTTTTCATGATGGTAAACCTAATCATGAAAAAAAGTTCTGTGAAAATGGAAAAGGAAATCGCATAATTGAAAATTCATATATTTGACAGCTTATGACCTTTTAACCCTGCAAAGTATGTCAAAAAGGCCTTGCCTTCTTCCGGTTATTTTTTCTTTCTTAAAAATAACAATTTATTTAATTACCAATACTTTCCAGTGATCAAGTAGGTGGTAGGAAGTATTCGCAGTAATCAGCACCAAACTGTACGTGTCTATTTGGGAAGAATTCTTGCAGCAGAATTACAAGTGATGTGGTTAAAACTTTTTTTTTCGTGATATAGCTAATATGTAAATTATTATTATCAATTGATTAATTGGATAAGTAGTTATTATTTATGCCCATTATTATAATGACCATCAATGTTTGTAAGTTTGGAAAGAATGGAGCATATCATTACAGTAGTTTAAATGAAAATAACGCTGACTCAAGTTTATTATCCTGGATTCCACAATAATTATTTGTTTCTTGAAAAACAAATGAATATTTGAGAATTGAAAGTAAAAATTTTTGCATTTGTTTTAGATTTTCATCTAGTTTTTGGTTTTTTACCTCATTTAATTTCTCAGTCTGAAGTGGAAATTAACGAAAAGAAGCAATTGAAGTAAATGGGAAATGAAACATATTTTCAAAATTCATTTTTTGATTGCATGTGAACAAAAACAGATTAGAAGCAAATAAATAATAAAATAAGATTTCAAAAAAAAAAATACTTGGCACTTCAATTTGGAAGTAACTGTTCTCTTGCTTCTAAATTATTTCGCCTGAAAAAGATTTGAAGTAATGTAAAAAGTAAATCTTGACTTGAAATAGTTTTTCAAATATGCAACACTTGGTAATTTAAATTTATATTTGTATATATATATATATATATATATAGTTCGAACTGTTTCTGCGCATTATTTCAAAGTATTATCATTACTGAGATGGAAAATTCAGCTTTATGCTTTTCCAAACTCATTTCATTTACAAGTTTTTATTTTAAAGATTTGTAAAACTATTCTAGAATTTGATTCTGCATATCGATGAATTTTGCAATCTTAAGTTTGAAACATAATGCATTATCATTTTTAAACCTCAATTTTTCTTGTGCTTCATTCGTAATCTATTTCAGACATTCCTTTCGTCGCTTCCCTCACTTCCAATTTTTTTTACATATAATGAACTACAAAGGGCAAGGTAATATTCTTTTTCTTCTTTTATGCTTGAACATGTATAAGTACTGCTGGGTTATTTAGTGTATAAGTGGAATTCAGTACAGAGATGGCATCCCTTATCCCTTCCAGGTACACATCTTATTATAAATACCTTGGAAAAGATATAAAGACGGTGGCACTCGTAAAGTTTTTCACTTCATGCAAACATAAATAATTCTTCAATTTGACCTTCAACCCTTAGTGACCAAACATTGCCTATACATTAATTTTTGTATTGTAAGTATAAAGATACAAATTTCTTGAGAATGTAAGACGAAATACTACTTTTCTGAGCTTCATTTCTCTCTCAAGGTTTCCTTTACCCATCATTAAGAAACGAATGAAAGCTTTTAAAAAAACTGCTAAAAGGAATATCTTTTCTTTTTTAGACAATTTAAGGCATTTTAAGAGTACTTCAGTATTCCACCGAAGTTGAACTCTTTGTGGTACAAAATATCTATTCCACTTTGGAATTTTGTTAATTTTTATGAAAAAAAATTCCATATTTGAATTTGAATTAAAATTTAGTTAGTTTCTGCTTTATTGAAAAATTTTCATTAATTTGTTATTTTAATTTATTGATCAATTTTTCTGCCCTGCAGTTCTAATGAAGGTTTTTGCAATATATAAAATACCTGATTTTTTTTCCACTGAACTTTTGAACTTTTTGAAATGGACAAAAGAGACAAGAAATTGTCATATTCAAAGGGACCATCAGAGTGGCAAGTGAAATAGCTATTGAAATACCAAATTATTCTTGTTAAATGAAGATATGTAAGGACTGAAATTGACATAATTTTTTTCTATTTATGTTAGTTCAAAAACCCATTGTAAAAAGAAATATTAATCTTTACTTTTGCCTGTTCTTGTCATCTTAATATGTGAAATCTGAACTTGACCTTGAAATACTCCTACTCGCTATAGAAAAAGCATTGAATCTTCTGGCAAACTGCTACAAGTACACTACGAATTTTTTATTCTCACGTTAACAGTTTCACTAATCAGTCAACGATAGAGTTTGAGTTGAGTACTGTTGAATTTGTAGCATTCAACTTTAAAATAGAATGCGGGTAAGCAAGTAATAGTAAAGTTTATTTGATCTTACATTATCTTGTACTCTGTTCTTTGATTGCTTTGCCACATGATTCAATAAATCTTAACTTTTGCTTTTACTAACAGCTTTTGTCTACTAACTTTTTAAATGAATAACCCGTTCTTTTAGTTTGAATATGTTAATTATACTAAGTATTTAAATTTAAAGAGAGAATCATTATCTTAAATAATTTCTTTGAAATTCTCATTTCGCATGCATTTATGTTTAAACTCAACTTCTGTATAAACATACCGAATGAAAAATATCGTACTTATGCAATTAATATCGTTTTTATTAAAAATTAGTACATAATCAACGTTAATTAGATGTTAACAAATCTAAAAGAAACTTGAAATAGGAAATTTCTTTAATATATATTACTTTGTTTGGCATTTTAATACTATATTTTGACTCGTGTCATTATTTGCTGCCATGAATTATTTGACTACCTCTTTGTTTACAAAAAAAAATATGTTCCAATTCAGTTGTTCAAGCCAAAACTTTCATGTCATGTAAGCAAAATGAACTTGTAGGAAATGTTGCTGCTTCTAATTCTGACAACATTTACGTCACTTTTTGGTAGGATTGTGCAAGCACCGGCTTCTGTGTTCAACAATTCAGTTCAAGGTTTGTTCAATTACATATCATCTCATCTTCCTCTAACTTCCATTCTACTCCTCTATAATACTTTATAAAGGTGTCAATATTTTGATCCATTTCTGAAGAAGATATCTTAATTTTTTTTTTCTATTTGATATAGTCTAGCCACGGTATGATGAAACGTAAAGTAAGACCAAGACTAAGCTCAGTTAGGACTATTACCTACTACATAGTAAGCAAGTAGCTAAAGATGAGTGAATAGAATGAGAGTTAAGAAAGAAATAGTAAATACTGTCGATCGAAAAATATGGTGCCCCATAGCAGGATCGAACTGCTGACCTTCGCATGTCTTAGATACACTTATAAGTACGACGCGCTACACCACTGCGCCAATGGGGCACTTGCTTCGATACGTATAAAGTCATTGTGGTCTATTTTAGATGAACCAGAAATAGATTGTGCGCAGGGTATGATAACAGTGCATGTGCGAACACTTTCTCGGAAACCGTCGTACATCTTTGCCAAGGGTCATTTCCATAAAGAGGGCTGTCACTTCAAAAATACCACTCGAGCAACTTTCCACTTCGAAAATTGCAACGTCAACAGGAAACGCGAATTAAGCATTTTAAAATTACTTCAATAACTGATTCATTAATTTATGAATGCACTGAACTACATTTAAAGATTATTTACGATCTGAACAGTGAATAATGCCACACCGTTTTTAGGTGAATCCCAAAGGAATGGCTTATTCTTTGACTGTCATAATTCAGCTTCATCCGGTAAAGCTTACCATAACTCTAATTAAAATATTTTGGATCAAAGTACAAAGCTGTCATACTTCCAAAATGAATTATATAGTACGCGTTATTTGTTGCCTCATCTTGAACTTTTTAGCTTTTTATCACAAAAGTTGACCGAGCTTATCATGTGCGATGCTTTTATATGGAAGAAAACAAAGCGGTGGATGCTTCGTTACATGTCAGGTAAGGTGGCACAGAAAACAATCACTCGAGCAAATAAATCACTGACTGATATATTTAACCCTTACTTCATGTTCCTTCCAACCTAGTTTGACAGACTTATTTGGCTGCGATAAATTTCAAGAACTAGAGAAAAGCGGAAATAATTTTCCAGTGAAGAAGTTGTAGACAGTTACTCTGAATAATATTCGTTTGCAATCCATATTCTTGTTATTGAATAGCAATAAGAAATAATGAGCTAATGCGCGAAACGGAGGAAATTGAATGGTCATTAAAAAAACACTCAATGATTGAAATATAAAAGTGTACAAATATCAAAATAGATAAATTAATGTAAAGAAAATAAAGCAGTAAATTTGTTTAGATGTTGGTGTGCCTTTACAATTGGTACTAAATAAAATATAGCGCATTCAAAAGCTGCGTTTTTCAGTGATTTGACGACATCAATGCTTGAGTCAGGTCATGCAATGCCTCAGTGTTCTTATACACTGCATCGAGACTCTCCTAACGGGCCGGTACTGCGATATGCGAGAGTAGGTGACACCGTATTCCATGTTTGGGACTGTCCATCTGATGTTTACGCAATGCTTATTCATACTTGCTTCATATTAGATGGTCAAGGCGGGGAGCACAAAGTCATCGATGAGAACGGGTATATTCACTTACTATATATATATATATATATATATATATATATATATA